ATTCAGTTCCACTTCAGTAATATTCCTTCCACAAAAGTTCCATTGTTGCAGTCAGTGATGGATTCTTTAAGCTCAAAAGGCCAAGCAGCTGTCGAAAAGTGAATAAGGGTGCTTGGCCCTTTAAGAACTGTGTGGTGAATGTCTGCTAGCATCTGAAACACACCCACAACAAAGTCCTGTAGCCTTGTGCCGGCTTCGCTGGGTTAAGCAAAATATTACAATAGCAAGAACTCATCTGGAACAAATAAATTTTGGAGGCCACCAGAAATATTACAAAAATGGAAAGGAAGATGGCCATTTGTGAGGGATGTAAAGTCGACACTGCCACCTGCTGCATTGCAAAGGTAATAGTGTTTGGCTTGGCCAGTGCTGACACAAGGCAGGTTCTAACTCGGGGCACTTGGACCAGTGGAAGCATCCACCAAATGCTCTTGGTGCAAGATACCTCCCAGTTTGCTTGGCCAGTCCCTTGTCGCCTGAAAGCCTTGCTTTACAGGGTACAAGTTTTTGCTTCCCTCTGCTTATTTTAGATGATTTTTGTAGCAGGAAGACATTAGCTATAATTTGCCATTTTGTATGCTATCTTTTGGCTGTGATTTTCTGTTCTAAGTACAGTTTAATTTCCTAGATTCACAAGTGGGTTTAAATAAAAGGTGCCGTGAGAAGAGATCTATCGAGAGAGAGAGAGAGAGAGAGAGAGAAAGCACACTTTCCCTTTGTCCATTTTTTCTGCATTGTTGTTTATTTATTTAATTTCTATACCACCCATTAGTTATTTTTCATTTTTTATTTTTTATTATTTTATTTTTATTGTGTTAATGACCATGCGTGGAAGGATATTACGTTCTTTTCCTGCCAGTGGTTTTTTCCATGGGAAGCTGGCTGACCACGGTGCGGTCTGAATGCTGGATCGGGCTTCATCTGATCCAGCAGTGTTCTTCTTAGGTTCTTCTGTAAACAATACTGGAAATTGTTTAACAGAAGAGTGATTTAAAACAAAAAGTTTAAAGACATTGTTATTGTCCTAAGTTAGTAAGCTGCTTTGATGGAGTGACAGGTACAGAGGCAGAGAGAAAATCTATTAGAGGATTACACCCTGTTTCATTAAAAATAACCCACAAGATGGAGAACATGTGACTGCCTATATCACAGCACTATCAACCCACATGGTGCTTTGTGGAATAACATACCAGAAACTATTTCCTGCCCCCAAGTGGGTTATTTTTCAGTTTTGACTGTGGGGCAGCATGGGGAAGACATGGGGGTGAAGGAAGCAACGACTCCCTGGAGTGGGTGCAAGAGGGGTGAAAGCAACCAGATAGGGAGGACAGGCAGCAAATGGAGCTTGCCAGTCCCACTCAGTTTTCAGCTGGGGATGTGTACCAAGGCGTCACTGTTCCTACCCCTCCAACTGGGGAGAGAGCTTTGACTTTAATTTAGGAAAAGCAAAGCCCAGCCCAAGGCAAAATTGGCAAAGTGCTGGAGTGAACCACATCTGGTTTCTGTCATGCAGGAGAAGTGCGCCCCCCTCCCCCCCCTTCACCCTCCTCCTCTGCTCTTCGGCACCACCTGGTGGAGTTTGCAGGCCTTTTTTAAGTTCAGCAAGTCATGGACCACATGATTGTCTAGTTTATATACCATGCATGATGGTTTCGTTTTGCCGATTTCCCTTCCTTCAGGACCAAACGTTGCTACTTAGCCATGGGCAGGTGTCAAGCAGGCCTTTGCAATAATTACAATTAAGCCCAAACAGGCTGTGCACAGAGATACTCCCCATGGGCAAGTTAAGAGGCATCCAGGCCTTGGTTTGTATCATCATTCCACTTTCTGCTCACTTTGACAGAGAGTCGGAAACCTACTTCCTTCTCATCGCATGATCTTATTCCTCTTGTTACGTACATTCAGTTCACGACACAGTCAACATGCTGACTACCAAAAGCAGCACAATGCAGTAAATAAATAAATCTAGAATATTAGTTGCAGAAGATGCATGAGCATCACAACAGGCATGCTTTGTCTCCCTGCCCGGCACCTCTGCAGTGTTGCTCTGGGTCCTTCTGAGGGCATTCATACCAACCCCCCCTTTTGGGGAGTTTGGAGCTGCTGTTGTCACAGGGACAAGGGGCAACCCAGGGGTTGAGCTCCTGAGACAATTACTTCCCAACCATGGAGAGGCAGTAAGCAACTGGTAGCTGATGACCACAGGCGGTGCCTTCTTGGTGGTAGCATCCCACAGGTGGGGATGATCTCCTCAGTACAAGGAGCTTACCTCATCATCCTTTTAATGCCAGCAAAGTCCTGCATCGTTTTCTCCCAAGCTTGTTTTAGGATTGTTTTAGCCCTGTTTGTGTTGGTTTTGTGCTCTGTTGTCTGCAGTTTATTTTTTCTCTTGTAAGCTGCCTTGCATTTTTATTGTCCTTTACTGGAACATTATGTAAGCCTCTGAAAAGCAGTTAGTCCAAGAGCACTGCGCATCCACACGCATCTGTGTGCATGCATGCATTTTTCTTCCACCAGGTATGAAAACTGTGGGAGGTTGACTGACTCAAGCTACATAAAAAAGCACTTCATGATCTGATCGTTCCTTTGGCAAAGGTGATTGAGCATAACACCACAGGTCTCTGGCTGTGCCAGGGGAGAGGAGTTGCATACAGGTGCTTTAGCTGGCGTTGCACTTTGTACAACAAGCCCATTAGCTCCCCGCTCTCGCCTAGTGAGGCCTTCCATGCATTCTCCAGGCACCAGTCAAACCTCTCATTTGAGCTAACATCCTTGTTGTCAGTGTTTGAAATGTAATTTACTGCATGCAAATACTCCAGACACCTACGCAGTTTGGAGGAAGAGCACCAAGGTATTCCCCATGGATGCAGTTAATGAAGAGGAAGCAAACTCCATGGATGTGTGTTCGCAGCAACCCTAATTGGGAAGGCAAGACGCAGGAGTACGGCAGACACGACTAATTCGAACATCCGAAGTGTGATGTTCCAGTTCATTAACTTTTCACTTGGGGCTAAAATTTTGAAAGACGGTTTAAAAGAAAACCTGCTTCCTGAACAAAGACTTTGCTGTTTTCTCCACCAGTGCTGCAGAAGTCCTCTGATCTCAGTTTGGCAATCCCAGTGGCATGGAGACAGACCACGCAACACACTCACATTGTGTGAAAGTGCTTTAGGTGCCACTGGGGTCAGAGTTCAGCTTTGCACTTTGCTGTCCTGCGACTTCCAAAAGCGAATTCTCTGCCATCTTGGCTGTGTTGACACAATTAAGCTGACGTGTGTTGGAAGCAAGGGAAACAACCCTGGATAATTTAAGAAGTTTAGCGGATCATCTGGGGGTGACGGGTGAGTGGGGTTGCAGAGCTGAGTTTGAAAACATGCATTTCCTAAAGGGCGTTGATTCGACCCTTGGGAAAATTACTTCTTGGTTAGCAGTGAGGAGTGTACATATGCAAAAGCAAATGTTTCCATTATACTTCTGAGTGTGCAACTGTATATTACAAGGTAAATAGCACCACCAGTGTGCCCAAGAGTCAGAAATTAGTGGAGTCCAAGTCCTGAGCGTCCAAAGACCAGTGACTGCACCGCCATAGCTGCCAATATCTCATGAGGGTTTTGGTGCCTTGAACTACCAAGAACTTAAGGATGGTTTGGCTGTTCTAAGGGAGGGAGTCTTACAGGATCCAAGCTTGTCAGACTTTTTTGGAGCTGTACTAGATCCCAAAAGCTCACCAGCCAGAGATAGGTGCAAAAGGTATCTACTTAGAATATCTCTGGGCACATTCTGAGCAGATGGATGTATTTCCAACCCAAACCTGAGCTCATGGTCTTTTCACACAAAGTCCACCCATGGTTATCCCAAGCTTTCTTCATTTCAGCCGTCTAATTTAGTTGGAAAATGGCAAATTATTGTGGTTGTTACCATTATTCCATCCCTTTTTAAAGCATTTTCTATGTAATTGCATTCTTGTCTTGGGAAAAATGTCTCTAGAAGAGCCAAGATTTGTTAGCTGACATGTCTGTTGCCGCTTGTTAAAACTATTGGGATGCAGAATCCCTTCTCAATCTACAGCAAATTGACTACAGATCTACCAATAGCTTCTGATCTACCTTCTGCCCATGTACATGCTAAAGAAGCTGTGGGAGAAGAAGCACAAACTGCACTTCTTGTGTGGATGATCATGTGCTATCTGGAAAGAAGCTTCAGTTGGACTAGAGATGCCACGATTGCTCATGAGAAAAGTACATCTCCCAGAGCTACCTGATGGCATTGTAGGGCTTCCTGTTCTGGAGCAGGACACAAGTCAAAGAAGGTGGAGGTGGAACCCTAATCCAAGCCAGTCCAGGTTGAACCTGGAGAAGATCCAGACTCACCAGGGAAGAGGCCAACTTCTTTGGATGATGGTCAGACAACTCCCCCATTTCCCTCTGATGCCAGAACCACCATGTGACTCCATTCTATTTGGTCTTTGCTGGGAGCTTTTAGACTAAAATAGCTGGAGCAGGGGCTTCTGATGCCTATAGTCCAACACTTCTGGAGGCCATCAAGTTGGAGGAAGCTGGTGTAGACAGTCCAGAGCCAAAGCGACCAATATTCTGACTCAGGATCACAGCCAACTTTCAACATACCTAAACAGCTGTGAAATCATTGTAAATCTCAGAATTCTGCAGAGGTTAGGGGCCAGTGGCAGAGTTGATGCTGCTACAAAATTATATACAGAAGTTTCTACCAATAACCTCATTTTAAAGTTTCAAATGCGGACTGCATCCTTTAGAAAATGTCTCTCAGACCTACATTTGACCAACTTCTGTTTTATGGTAAGCAAAACAAACAAAAAAATGAACAAAGTGAACAGTGCATTTGAAGAGATGCTGTGAAGCTTCTCGGTTTGAGGCTTGTGGACTTCAAAGCAAATTGATGTGTATTAACATTCCATTTATGCTTCTTAACACTTGATTCATAGCTAAGCTATAGCTGACTTGACAGATGACGGTAGAGGACAATGACATTTGAGCAGGGTTTTTCTCCTGCACATTTTATTTAAATTTCAAACAGTTCTTCCTTCCACATTTTAATTTTCCATTAGCTCTTCTTGATTCAATTGGATTTCAGTTGCCACAGCAGTCTTTGAAAAAACAGGGCCAAGTAATTTAGCTACAGTGCCAATTTCTACTTTTGTTTTGGGAGGAGGAGGGCAGTCTGGCTTGGATTTCCTTCACCACTCCTAGGGACCGACCACCACCTATGTCTCCTACAGCTTCCTGAAATCCTCAATAACATTCTACGCATCAGATGGAGCGGGCTACAGGCGACAAGAGCTTGCGCCAAAAGATTCTGTGCTGGTCTTGTTCTAACTCAGCAGCTTCCCTTCCAAACTCCAGAATGAATCCTGTGATGACCCAAGCACCACCACCAGGTTCTTACTCTCCAGTTCAATCAGAAGTTTGCTCATCCCTGTAAAATCATTCCCAGTCCCAAATGGTTGAACAAACACAACAGGTGCTCAAGACAGGGTAAGAAAGACAGAACCCACTGGCTTTCTTGCAGTGTAGCTATGTCTGAAACTCCCGCTTGAAATTCTGATCAAGTCCCCCCTTTCTCTGCCTTCTTGCAGGGACTGGTTCTCTTGGTCACCCTGCCCAGCAATGCAGGAATACTCCATTGCTCCTTGAGTGCTTGCATTCTGCCTCACAATCCTCGCCTTTGGTCTTGGATGGAGACCACCTTAGCTCCTGCCTATGCAACTTACGGGCATGTCTTGCAGGACTCTCCCTTCTTCCGCCGTTATCACCAGCTGCGACTGCTCCTCAGCTTCCCCTCATTACTCCCATTCGTGCTTGACAGTCAGAGCAGCAGGGAGCACGTGGGTTAGGGCATTTACTGGCCTGTTTCTCACACCACCACTGCCTAGGCCAACCTATGCAGCAGACCGTGGTGGTGAAGAGAAGGTCCAACCATGCCAATCCTTGACACGGGTCCTGCTTACAAAATACACTTAATCCCAAGCTGGATGTGAGGACTAGATCCATCTCCCTTGGTCACTGGCCAGGTTGCAGATCCTGCTTTCAGCCTGGTGGAGCTTCCCTCTTCTTCCATCCTTTCTCCTGCTTCTACGATCAGAGAGAAACATCCTCTGCCAGACTGCCCTCTGCTTTTGGAATGCAAATCATAACTTTAAACTAAAGCATTGCATAGCTTCCTTTTTAAATTACACTGAACGTGTCCAGGCGTTCGTTCGGGGGAACTTCTCAAAATGCATTTTTCAAAAACTACTGGCACAAAACAGACAAATCAACATCCGTGTATTTACAACAAAACAAAAACCACCTTTGCATACATTTTGTGCTCCAGACATTCATAAAAATATACATTTTTTTCATTTTCTGCATCTGTCTGGATCACATGTCTGAAGCTAGCAATTCACTGATTTATATAAAATGCACTAAGCCCTGTCAAGAAATGTCAACACAGTGGTAATTTCTCCGGAAAGAAGGACTAAAACAGGGTGTGCAGTTTGGGGGGAATTTGCTTTGTTTTGGGAGGACCGAGGGAGTTCGCCTATCATAGTTCTGGATCACAGCGTGGCAAAGTCGGAGAGCTTCAATGGCTCACAGGCAGAGGGCCTGCTTGATGTTGGGAAAGTTGAAGGTTGAATCCATGGCACTTTCACTTAGAAGAATAAGTTGGGGATGATACCAAAGACCTGAGAGTTTGCTCAAAGGGAGACAATACCATGCTAGACAGACAAAACCTGACCTGGATATAAGAGAGCTTTCTTGTTCTATTATCTCACTGCTGGGGGGCGGGGGTATCTCCAAGGGAACCTCTCTGAGCTGTGCTGTTTGCTGCAGTAGATTTTTCAGACCGTGTGTACCTGGAGAGCCCCTGGGGTTCCTTAGAAACTTGAGGGGATCCACATCCCTAAAGGACAATTCCACTGATAATTGCTACTCTCCCGGGATGTTTGGGACATGTTGCGGGATGCACCCAGTCCATAAAGAAAGGCTTAGAGTTGTCAAGGGCTGCACAGGATCAAGGAAGCACACACCTTCCCACAACACCTGCTCCTTTCCCTTTGTATCTGCTTTGCTGAACAACCTGCAAACAGCCCCTTTGTGGATTATCTACAAAGCAGGGGTGCTTTGAGCTGCAGAGGCTTAAACAAGCAGCAATTTAGCCAACAACAAGTGACAGGTTTGAACTCTGGGGCATCCCCAGGTTGTTTTGCAAAGCAAAAAGGGTGAACACATGGTTCCCAGCCTGAGAAGCAGAGTCCCCTGTGCAACTTTCTAGCAGGGTGTTTGGACTGAGCGTGCAGCTTACTCGACACCCTGAGCTGCTCTTGCAATGTTTCTGGAGCAGATGCTAGTGGGGTCAGAAGAAGGATTTCTTACCAGAGCAGCCCGATAGTACATGTACCTTGAAGCTGTGAAAAGCTACTGATTGACCTACCTAAACAGTTCTGTGCCATTACAAGCTAATTTCACCCACAGCACACCTCCGAAGCTCCAGTTTAAGATACCTTTTGAGCTCCTTTTTTTGCTAATGTTGTGTTTACCTGGGCAAAAGAAACATGCCCTTTCATCATTTATGACACAAGAATCAATGATTTGGAAAAGCTTGGCAGGAATCCTAGAAAAATTAACAATTGCTTATCGAAGTCACACTTGGCCCACTAAATATTGGCTCCAGCTCTAGGAAGACTGAGTTAAACAGTGGAGATACATTTTTGGTTCAAGACAGTACGGATACTTGCAATATGGCAAATATGAAGTGTCCTCTTTCTTGGTGTGGAGTAGCCTATATCTGCATATAGAGGGAGGTCTGCCCCTTCAGCAGACCAGGCCAAGCAAAGCGTTACAATCCCGATTTAGGCTGCTGAAAGGGGCTTCCATGACAGGCAAACTTGTGCTTCAAAAGCTTCTTCACTTCCCGTTTCAGCCCCCGTGGCCCAGTTCAGAGATGGCTCAATGGAGCCAGAGCCTACACAGAGTGGCAGGATGCTCCCATGACGCAGTGCCGACATGCATGCTCGCTGGCCTGCATCCACGAATACCCAAAATCATGCTGCGTATTCCTCCAGAAAGGCAGAACGAGCACGTGAAGTGCGATGCTGAATGCACAGGCCTTTCGATGATACACCCCTTAATTTAGAGAAGTGCTGGAAGGCCAGAACATAGGCCCGCCCTTTTATTAATAAATGTCTGAGGTGGGCTAAATATTCGTCCGTGCATGCAGTGATGAGGGTGGAGAGGAGAATCAGAGGCTGCACAGAACTAGGTAAAAAGTGGGGTGGACAACTCCATGTAGCAGCAACCCCCTCTCTGTGTGTGTGGGGGGGGGTGCAGGGGGACTTTTAAAGGAGACCTTAGCCCTATTGTTTGGCTGTCTGTATGGTGGAAACCACATTTTGACTCATACAAATGCAAGACAAGGGGAGTAGCTACTAAGGATGGCCAAAATGTAGCTTTGGCGCCAACCCTGCACAGCTTTGCTGCATCTGCTGTACCAACTGGCCAGCAAATAAAAAGGGGCTGTTGAAAAAGGAGTAATTGAGCTCTTCCTGAAAAGCCCAACCCTACGGAGGCTGGGAATGGCCTTCCAAAGAAAAGGTAAATGTAAACAAAGATACCTAATGATGTTGCTACAGACAGCTAATGGCCATTTTTTTGCTTTTGTTTCTCTGGGTTTGCTTCTCACAGATTTCTGAAGGCGTGTGCTAATCTAAGAGGGTACAAGGTACATGGAGATAGCATAACTGGGCTGAGGAAGTGACAAAGCTGGGGGTGGGGAGTATCTGAGCATCTGATTTCTTCTAGCTGGCACACCTGGATCCCAGCCTGGCCAGGAGTCCAGCTGCCCTCACTTCACGTCCCCAAGGAAAGGGGTTGCGGGTCCCACATTCCTGGTCTAGACTCAGCCAGCCAAAGTTGTTATCTCCAAGCTCAGACTAGAAATAACAGCGGTGGTTCCTTAAGGGTTGAAGGCTTGTAGGAGAAATGCTTCTGCCCCTGAAGCCCCCAAGGAAATGAGGTGTGCTGCACTTAGAAGCAAGCAGGGCCAATGAAGTCCACAAGCTCGGGATCGACAAGCCAATGAACAAGGAAGCCCAATTCTTGTGCACCAGCAGATCATTTCTGCTCAAGATTCAAACCTGCTATCAGAAAAAGCATTCTGGATGTTGTCCACCTTACTTTCTCCCCTCTTTCCAGTTTTGTGAATGTTTGCAAATTGTAATGCAGAAACAATTTCATTCCTCAGTTGGACAAGAGGAGGAGTATATCACTCCATCCAGTTCGTTTTTCCTTTTTGCTTTGCCAGCAGGCATGAAAAACATATCCCAAGATGAAAATAAAAGCTCATGTTTTATTTTGGGGTGAAGGTTTTTTGTTTTTGTGTTACTATGGCAAGAATACCTGATTCAATTACAGGACGCAGACAAACGAAACAACCTTACTATTTAGCAAAAAATTAAAGTGTCACATCTTTCCACACAACAAGTGTGCACATGACTGAGAATTTTGGAATTCTGACCAAAAGCAGATTTCCTAATAAATTAATGAAATAGAACAAAAAAATCATATAAAACAAAAGCCAAAGAATATGCTTAAGTCAATGTAAAACCTTCAGGAACTGTTATCTCTCTCCATAGATATATATATATATATAGATATAGATATATATTTATATTTCCTGAATTATTATTTTTAAATAAAATTTCTCTGGGGAGGGAGCTAATTTGGACTCTGATTTTCAGAGAACGAGTTCTTTGAGTTGTTCAGCAGAGGAGTTCTAGGTGAGGATTCCCTCAGGAAAGAGAAGCGGTTTGTAGCAGCAGAGTTCGGGAATGCACCCTGGAAAACCTCATCCGTGCCGTCGTCCCCTCCCTCAAACGCAGGTCGCAAAGGGACCGCTCTCCACTCACTCCTCCATCTATGAGCAGAATGAGGCACAACAAAGACAGCTTTGAATGCGGGCTCGTGTTCTTCCCTCCAACATGCGGCCACGATGGAAAGGCTTAGTGCGGCCCCCAGCTCTCATGCAAGTGCCCACTGCCTCTCTGGGGGCCCAGCATCAGCAAGGGTTGGGGTGGGGGCTGTCAATTTGAGGGGCAGGAGTGTGGGGCCATCCCGCCCCCCCTCCACCAAAAAGGCAGGAGTTTTGATCCAAAGCAGCAATCAAAGAACAGGAGGAGGTGAAAGGCGCCTGCCCAGAGGGGGCCTGATTCAGACTGAGAGAAGCAGCTCCGAGTGGAGACTTGGGCAAAGCGTGGGGAAACCAGAGGCAGAGCTAGAACAACAAATATTTCTGGGCAGTGGGGGACACAGCCCATATTCTGGGTGCCTCTGCGCCCTGACCAAAAATGCTCAAATGGGCTCTGGGAATTGGCACTGGGAAGGGTGGTGACTTCACGGGAGGTAAAGCGCTGGCAGCTGGGAAGCAACTCCCCCATCACCACCCCAATCTTAGGGGGGCAGCCGATGTAAGAAACCGCACACGTGTCCTTTGATGTGCCACGTTCCGTCCAAGAATGTCAAGGCAAGAGAGAGTCAGGCGGTTCGCCTCTGGTAGCCCCACACGTTCTCTGAGGATCGGAGTCACAGTCAACAGAAAATATCTCACAGACTTAAAAGCATGCTCAGCAACCACAGTCTTGTAAGATTAAACCAAGAGTTTGGAAAAGAAAGAACAAAACAACAAAAACTGTTACTCAATCAACCTGGTTTAAAAGTTCACAGCTGTGTACTACAAAGTGTAATAATTATTTCTCCATTTTTTCAGCCCATACAAAAATAACGTATTGCAACTCAAAAGTGCATATATTTTTGTCTTAAAATAAACAGTTGACTGTTTCGATTTCTTTTTTTATCAAATAAAATATGTACACCATTTTGGTTTCTGGTCAGAAACACTCTTCATGCTATCACCATGGGGACATCGTCTGAAAAGCCTGTGATCATTGGAGCTTCGTCATCCTCGTCTCCTAAGAAATAAACACAAAAAGATACTACAGAAATGGCAGCGGAAGTTCTGGTGTGACAGAGGGTTCCATTTTGAAGCCAGACATCTCCATTAGCTAAGACAATGAAACACACTGGGGACAAGGAATGGGGACAGTCTTCATAAATATCCACAAAATGTGAATGGGGGAGACGGGCCATGAAACAAGGCCCCAGTCTCTTGCTTCCACACCCATGACCCCCTCTTCCAAAAGGTACGCAAATGCAAGGCATTCCCCTCAGGGCTTCTGCCCATTTAAGGCACCATCTGAGATCTGGAGAAAATGGCACTACTTACCCAAATCGTCACCCGAGGAGAATATTGCTGACCCCAGCCTGGAACTGTAATGGCTGTTGGCAAAGGCTGTGAAGCTGTTTTGAAGTCTCCTGTGCCGCATGTACAAGACGACAAAACCCACGCCTACAGTCACTAACAGGACAAAGAGTATTGGTACCACTATGGCGGCAACATCTGTAGATCTGCTCATGGTTGAAGCTGCAGAATCCCCTACAGCAGAGAGGAAAGAACAAAGACACCATGGCAACTGATTCACAAGGACTGAGCCTTCCTTTGTCCACAGAATGACGCAAAAGCCCCCATGATGACCACCAGAAACTCAGCACCCTTTTAGCAAGGGCACTTCAGGGCGTTCTCTCTGCCCTGAATCCTCATCTTGGTCAGAAGGACTAGAGAGCAGGACCTAAGAAGAACCCAGGCACTTGTGGTTCACCCATGTCACTCCAGGCTTCTGGTGCAGAAAGAAGACATGGGGGAATGGATATCAACCTACGCAGGGTCTTTTCCTTACCAGTTCCGAGTTCGTTGTAAAGCAGAGTTGCTGGCTCGCCACACATCTGCCCACTGTAGAGACACCTCGCTTGCACCGTGAAAGAATAATTGTGGCCAGGCTTCAGGTTGGAAACTTTAAAGACATTCTCAGTGGTGTTCCCCAGATGTGTTGTGCTGTTTGTCACTCTGTCGAACATGTGTACTTCATATCCCTAACATTAAGGAAAAGCAATGGCTATCGTGATTTCAGTTGGATGGCATTACTGGCTATTGTACTCATGTCTACAGCATACTCCTGGTTTCACCTACACTGCCCTGTGTTTCTCCTTCATCCCATTTATGCTGTGTTTGACTCAAACCCTGGCTATGCGCACACAAAACCACGGGCCAGAATTCCAGGGATGTCTGGCTCAAAATTCCACACAAGCGTTACTGCGATGTGCCACCTGGTCCCTCTGGCTTGGCTTCCACAACCAGCAGGACCAGTTCCAGTTTCTGGAGCACACCAGCAAGGAAAAACTGAGCTTTACATCCTAACTCCTAGCTTGCTGCTCCTCTAAGCCAGCTTCAAACCCTGCCTTCTGATTCAGAGTGGACTGAGATCTCCTTTCAATTCTGATAAACAAACGCTTGGGGTCAATGTTCTTTCATCCTATGTCTTCATTTTATGCAGCAGGTGGATTTCAAAATTCTAGAAGGAGAAAAAAGACAAGGCTGACATCTGCTAAACCTTCACCCCCTTTCCTCCTCTAATCTATTTTTTTATGGGAAGTTTCAACGAAGCAGAACAACCAAACTGGCCGAATCAAAATCTGCCAGTCCCGCTGCTGGCTTCTTTCCTCGCTTTTCCAGCCCAAGGGCAAGCAAAAAAGAAGAGTCTCTAAAGCCGCGAGGGGGTGGTCTTCAAGGAAAAAGAAACAACTGTAAAAGAGGGGAGAAGAGGAGAAACACTGACAAGTACTAGGAAACATTCTCAGAACAGAATGTAAAACTAACACATTGAGGGATTGGAAAGAAAAGAAAGAGAATATTGGCGATGGGAGGAGATGCTTTTAGTTTCCTCTGATATTTATACCCCGCTCTTGCATGTGCCAATTAACATGGGGAGGGAGATGAGAGTGACAGCTGAGAGCTGAGAGCTCAGGGTCACCCAAGCTGAATGGTCAAAGCTGAGACACCAGACTAAGATGCATCCACTCTATTCCAGAATCCACGAGTAGAGGAGGAGTATCTCTTGGGGCAGAGATGGCGAACCTTTCAAAGATTGAATGCCCAAACTGCAACCCAAAACCCACATGTTTATCGCAAAGTGCCAACACTATATTTAAACCTGAAAAACGAGGTTTTAGTTTAGAAAAAAAATTCAAAGACAATATATATATCCTTGGCAGTGCACTGACTGGCCATGAGAAAACACAGACCAGTTGCAGCTAATACGTCGTGGCCCGTGATGTAAACGCCAGGCAACACTATTCCTTTTTGTGCATGAACAAAGCTGGAGGTGGACTGTTATCTGATGCTCGACAGGTGGGGTGAAGCTGGGGTGGCTTAGCTCACGTGCTGACAAAGGACGCTGAAATGCCCACTGTGCCAGATGAGCGATAGGTTCACCACCACTGCCCTGAACCCTACCCTGGTGCTTACCCCTAACCCTAATATAGGTAATATTCCACTGAAAGGTGGGCGATTTTTAAAATCCTTCTCCCAGAAGCTTTTTCTGCACAGCTCATCATTTCTCCCCATTCTAAACGCAATCCAACCATCAGAATCATGACAGGACTCCTAGTTTTTCTAACCCAACCCTGGTGCTCACCCCTAACCCACTCCTCCATTGAAGGGACCCAGGAGGAGGGTGGCAGGAAGCAGCAGTGGAGAGAGAACACGGCTCCCGAGATGTACTGGACTGTACCGTGGTCTACGATTAGGCTGATTAAACTACGTTCTGTTGGCGCTGTCGTACCAACGCCACAGGGAGATGAAGATGCGAAAAGTGGCCGGCATTGCCAGATCAGTCAAATTTGTACAAGAGAAGATCTTTTGGTTGACCGCGAGGAAATAGGGAGGATGCTGCCCAGTCGATGGAGGAAATTGTGGCCATGGTTGAGTGGGGCTCATGCCCCGATCATGTAATGTTTGTATATCGCTCCTACATGGAAAATTTCGGTGAGACACAAGGCATGAACCTATCAAGGAGAAGTCTGTAGAATGTTCTTTCTGTAAATATAATTTGTGAAGTATGGGAATCCTGTAAATGGGTGTATATTTGGCATTTTGATACCTTGCAAATATTGGATGGAGTACTTTTCTAGTTTTGTAACGTTGCACTTTATGTGCCTTTGTAACCTTTGTAATATGTTTATATTTAAATAAAAAATTTCAACAAAAAAAAAAAAACAATACAACCTACCCCTAATATACGGTCGTCTTCCACTGAAAGTGGGCGATTTTTAAAAAGCCTTCTTTGAGTAGCTTTTTCTGCACAGCTCATCCTTTCTCACCATTCTAAACGCAATCCAACCATCAGAACGATGCCAGGACTCCTAGTTTTTCTAACCCTAACCCTAACCTGGTGCTCACCCCTAACCCTAATATAGGGTAATATTCCACTGAAAGGCGGGTGATTTTGAAAAAGCCTTCTTTGAGAAGCTTTTTCTTCCCAGCT